GCCCCTCGAAAAAAACCCTCCTTTACCCCCTCCCTCCAACTTTCTAGGCCGACCCTACCCCACCTTCCTTCCACTACAGACTGTTTACACTCTTGAAGTCATTCTGTTTTGCCTCCATTCTCTTACATGTCCGAACCACCTCAACAACCCTTTTCCTCGCCCTCTGGACAGTTTTGGTAATCCCGCCCTCCTCCTAACTTCCAAACTATGAATTCTCTGCATTATATTCACACCACACATTGCCTCAGACATGACTCTCCACTGCCCAGCCTTCTCCTTGCTGCAACATTCATCACCCATTGCTTCACACTCATATAAGAGCGTTGGTAAAACTTATCTCATACATTCCCCTTTTTGCCTCCAAGGACAAAGTTCTTTGCCTCCACAGACCCCTAAGTGCACCACTCACCCTTTTTCCCTCATCAATTCTATGATTCACCTCATCTTTCATAGACCCATCCGCTGACACACCCCACCCCCAAATATCTGAATACATTCACCTCCTCCATACTCTCTCCTCCAATCTGATACCCAATCTTTCTAACCCTAGTCTTTTTGTTATCCTCAAAACCCTTTACTCTTTCCTGTATTCACTTTTAATTTTCTTCTTTTGCATACCCTACCAAATTCATCCACCAATCTCTGCAACTTCTCTTAGAATCTCTTAGGTTTCCACTTTTCCTTTTTTCGAAATTCGAAAAGTCTGAAAACCGAAGTTTTTTCGTGGGATGTGGGCGGTCAGTCATCTCTACTTTTTGTTTCCAACGCCGCTATTTGTGTCTCAGAACTTGTAGTGTTCACACATGTTTTCTGCTGTTTGTTGATATTTGTTTTTCCTTTTTATTTTGTGACTGTGTTTAATTTCACTGAAAATATCAGCAAGCTGCAGTACCCCTAGGGTAACAGTGGGGAAAAAAAAAGGGGAAGCATCTGACGTTATCAATAAAGCAGAAAGTAGAGTTACTGCAGCAGCTTGATTGTGGTGTCAGTGCGGAGTCTATGAAGTTTATGGTGTTGGAACTACCACTGTTTTGATTTAGAGAAACGAAAGATAAGTTACTGAAGTCTTATATTTGACAGTGATGACCAAAAAACTAATGAAAAATAGGAAAACACTGCATAGGGCAAAAAATGAAGATCTTGACTGTGCTAATGGAGTTACAGGAAACTGACATCGAAGAAAATTGCTGAAATGGTGTTAAATACAAATAAGCATGAGAATAGTAGTGATGATGAGGACATTGTGAACACAGGTGAAAAAGTCCCCATAGATGATATGGTGAAATTTTTGTGATCAGTTAATTGCTGGCCTTGAAAAACGTGCATTTATCAGTGAGCAAGAGATTATGTAATTTATTCAGTTAAAAGAGAGATTGCTTAGATAGAAACCTATGTTAATAAGCAGATAACACTTGAAAAAGTCTTTAAAAATGCCTTCTGTCAATCATCTTGAGAATCATGTTCCCGTTCTATAATTCTTTCATTATTTCATTTATCAAATGTATTACTCTCTAAAAATAAACCGTAGTAGTTTTTGTAGTCTTTATTTATCCCACTTAATGGGAGTATTCATGTTCTTGGGTGCAGTGTTAATGTTTGATTATAGGGTGCTGCCCTAGATCCCACCTTCATTCTGAAATTCAAAAAATTCTTAAATTCGAAACACTACTGGCCTCAAGGGTTTCGGATCAAGGAATGTGGGCCTGCGATGTAAACAACGAAAAATGCAAAACACAAAATAGTTTACAGCGAAGTTCCAGCAGATCGTATTTGTTTGGTTGCATGTTTAGCAAACGGTTGACTACCCAATGATTTTTTTTACTGAACAAAGCGTTCGAATGTCGAATTGTCCGAGGTTCCACTGTATATATATACTATACACATTTTTTAACACATCGGCTGTTTCCCAACGAGGCAGGGTGACCTGAAAAAAAGGCACACTTTCACCATCACTCATTCCATCAGTCTTGCCTTTATCAACTTAGTAATTTGCTTTGTATTTTTAAAACTCCTATAGTAGTAGTCTGCCGAGGAATGGCGGACACAAAGACAAAAAAAAAAAAAAACTCCATTTCACCTCTACACGTTTCTATTAGGGTGATGACATCACCAACAGATCATCCACCAACTGCCTACATTAGACCCCTCCCACAGTATCTGACATCTGCCTTCCCTCCCCAAGTGGACTCAAGTCCAGCTAAAACTGGTTATATTAATGAAAGATACTAAATCACATACTGGTAATTTGTAAACTACATCCAAAAATGGACATACTTTATACCTGTCTATATATGGCATTACATCCAAAATTCAGCTTTACAGTATAACAAGATCAAAATCTCAGGCGGTCATTGACTCTAAAACTGATGCATTCTTTAAATTAACCATTCATCGTATATCACACATATGATCGATTTTCTGTGGAAAAGGGGGAAACTTTACAATAAAGTCAAATCTGATATTTCACTTCTTTAACTTGAGTTACAAGATATTGCTATATAAAAAGTTTACTTTACTTAATAATGCAGTAAACAAGGGCCCTGACGAGCAATACAAAATTTTCAAGTTTTGCAATAAATTATCATCAGGATCTTCAAAGTCCATCACCATTCTATTTTTTTCCTCACCCAATTATAGCGCTTGGGAACCAACACTAGGACTGTGAAGGGCTTGCCACTTATCAAATATCTTTTTTTGGCCCTTCATTTGCTTGTGTCAACTTTTTCATCTGGCTTTTGAAATTTCCTTTCCATTCCATATCAGGTGAGGGAATGCCATTACTGTCACTACTGTGAGTACTCCAGGTGTATCGGAGAAAATATCCACTTAGGGATCTTTGGCTGTCTCGGCAGGTGCTTTGCTGCTTGCTCAGATTTCTTCACGGGCTTTTTCTTGTTTCCTTGCCTCCTCCTGATCTTTCTGGCTGGATTTCCTGATCAGTTCTGCCCTGTCATCCACCATCTTTATGCACGGTGATTCTGGAAAACAATTCTTTTTACTTCTAAGAATACTTTGTCATGGTTAAATACAAATATACATAATTAATGTAACTTTACCTACTCAGCCATGATACATACAAATAAATAAAAAATTTTCTTATCTAAATTGAACATTATTAAATGTAATAACTCAAAAGTAATGAATACTTATCAGTGCTGAATAATACCTCTCCAACACGGACGGAGACAGAAAACAAGATTATTGTTCTAATTAATCTTGATACCCTTCTGGGTATCTCTTTAGAAGGATCCCTTCCTGCTGAAGCAGGATCCCAGAGGGTGTTGAAACTATACATATCAATTAATCCACTGTGATTTCTCTCTCCTGTGGGGTTATTATTGTGCATTTATTTTATGTCAGCATTAGTTTAAGATTGTTTTTATACAAGTCCTGTCTTTGAAGTTATTTGTAATAATACAAGTTTAAGGGCATTGTGTGGTGCTAATATATATATGCAGATTATCTGGCAGCTGACGATACTTGAACCCGTCCGGAATTACGGAGAAGGTGAGGGTTAATTAAAAAGTATTAGTCAGAGGGTGAGAGGGGTTGTTGAAGGTGGCTCTGTCATTTAGAGAGAGTATGGATCAAAGTAGAAATGACATGGAACGCATATAAAATCATATAGGGGAAGGAAGGAGGGGTAGGGGGTCGTCCTTGAAAGGGTTGGAGAGAGGGGGGGTAAATCGGAGGTTTTGTGGGAGGAGGCATTGGTACATTCAGCAAGACGTGCGTGGAGCGTGTGTTAGATAGCGTGAATGGTTCTTGGGACCTGACCGATTGTTGGAGTGTGAGCAGGGGTAATATTCAGTGTAGGGATTCAGGGAAACCGGTTATTTTCATATAGTCTGACTTGAGTCCTGAAATGGGAAGTACAATGCCTGCACTTTAAAGGAGGGGTTTGGGATATTGGCAGTTTGGAGGGATATGTTGTGTATCTTTATATGTGTATGCTTCTAGACTGTTGTATTCTGATGCACCTCTGCAAAAACAGTGATAATGTGTGAGTGTGGTGAAAGTGTTGAATGATGATGAAAGTTTTTTTGTTTTTGGGGATTTTCTTTTTTGGGTCACCCTGCCTCGGTGGGAGACGGCCGACTTGTTGAAAAAAAAAAAAAAAAAAAAAAAAAAAAACATACAAGTCTCTTCAAAATTGAAATTAAGCATTCCCATTACTGACCCCCTTCTCTATCCTCCAATCTGATTCCAAGGGGTGGCAGGAAGTCATCTCTGATGTTGTCACACAGTCCTAGCAGCTGTCTCTGAAGCTCCTTAACATCCTTTTCCTTATCGCGAGCCCACTGTCGCAGCTGCTCTCGGATATTGGCAACCACTTCTGCTACAGCAATTAACTTTTCTGACCCCTGAAGCATTACATAAAAAAATATAATAATGAAACAACTTCAGGCTGTTACTGAGTATGGAAGTAAAAGAAAAATATACAAGAAACAAATAAATAGTAAAATCTATTATCTTACCTGGCCTCCAGAAGCACCTCTGTCTCCAACAGGAACACCAAAGATATTCATCAATTTTCCTACAAAGCTGTTGATGTTTATTAATAATTGAGAGTTTACCTGGGAACAAAAATACCATTAGAAATAATGAATGACAGCAAACTGATTTGCATCCAGCCTAACCAATATAGGTAGTACTAAAGATTAATTCTTGTAGAAAAAATACATACAGCACATTTATTAGCTCAAAATGGCCTACCTGTTATAGAATTTCAAATAATCAATGACATGAGAATCCACAATACTGTTAAATTAAACAGTGATGTAGAGATACTAGGATTTTGATCTGGTGACTTCCCGGACAGCAATGACAGTGTCGTGCATCTGCAATATATTCAAATTGGATTCCTAGTACTCTCTTCACAAATATTACTGAAATGCAATGATGAGAGCTAACAAAAACTTCAACTCAAAAAGTACAGAATTATCTAAAATTGTAGCAAATTAAAGGTACAGTATTATTCTCTACTTACCAGTACTGTATCAATGTAACTATCTGTTACCAATATAATGGACACTGTTATGTAGTATATAATGGTATAACCTCTCCTTTGTTTACCTTAACACTGTTATTCATGTATTTATTGGCCTCTGTAATGACGTCTCGTATGTGATCCAAAGCCCTTCTTGTGTCAATGTTGTCGCAGAGAGCTTTGTGGACATTAACTCTGAGGAACAAAATTCATGCACTGACATAACCAGTAATATATATCACAATTATAAATCTATGAGGCAAGCATGTCTCACAATCCCAATGAATGGAATAAACTTCTAACACTTGTACAGTATATGTACTCATCTTGTACAATAATCACAATTTTTTTCAATCATGTATTTACCAGCCAGTTTTTTCTGCTGCCCACCAATATTAATACTGTATTATTGTTTTTTTAAATGTTACCATTTAAAGATAAATAACCTACAAATGTACTCAACAACATATGATTACACCAAATTAGTGTCAAACACTATTGTGTCAAACACAAGACTTTAGCATAAGGTAATTTCAAATAACAAACCTGCAAGAGTTGAACAAGGACTGCAAAGACTCCTCTTGTGAAGTCCAACGGCCTCCCCTGCAACAT